AATTAACATATATTAATATATAGAATGGTTGGGTTAGAGTGTCTTGCTCATCCATGACCTTTGTTCTGGTGTAGTGGCCTTTCTGCTGCCCCACTCCACCTCTGATGAAAATTTCTTCCACCAGTTCTTATTATCTAACTAACTGCATGTCATTCTTTAAGAGAATGTGGAAGGAGCTATTTGTAAAAGCTCACATTCATACTTGCTGCTGTATCTTCTCATTTCACAGAGGATGAAAATCTTGCCTTTTGATTCCTTATCTCATGCAGTGAGTTTTTTCCTCGCTATTTAACTAGATAATCTCACATTCATTGTTGGTGCTCCAGCACTGAAATGGAATCCACTGGTGGAGAGAAATTGCCATTAGTGGGAAGACACAACATCTTGAGAAAATGACAAACAAGGGAAGTCACTGATGTGACAGAAGTCACTGCAACAAAGCATTTGAGGCAACTCAAGTTGTTGCTGAAAGACCAGTTTGGGGGGTTGAACATAAAAATGCAACGATAAGGAGTCTGAGAGGATAGAAAGCAAATAAATGGGAAGTGTGCAGGTGTCAGGAATCCCAAGTGGTCTGAAATGGTATGGCCTGAAATATACAGCATAAGAATCCAGTTGGCCTTGCTATATTGGTCTGGGCATTGGCAAAAGGATACAGAATAGTACATATGAGACAAAGGTGCCCCTTCTGATGGCCAAGGCCCTGGCCCCTAGAGGGGGACAGACTTGGGTGGCAAGAACTCTCATGCAGAGCCTAAAACAGATTCTCATAGGGCTGGAATCCTCCTGCAGGTGGAGCAGCATGGACAGGGTGGAGCTAACCAAGGGCACTGTAGGGCCAGGCTGCTGTGCAGTAGTGGGACAGAGCGGGGAGTCTGCAGCAGGGCAATAGATGCAAATAGGATTTTAGTACAGCTTTTTGACTTCATTGTCTTTCACTGGGTAATTCGGTTTTACTTCATGGTTTTAAAAAGGTTATGCTTGTCAGATATCAAAATAGATAAAGCACTTTCCACTTGCACTCCTGAGTTTTGTCTCTCCTCCAGACAAAGGGTAAAGATTATTGCTACTCAGCTGCTGGAAGGGCTACTTATCTGTGTGCCTAGGTGGGAACCCACACCGGTACATTTTGGATGTCCATTGCATTTAAAATCAAAGCTCTTATCTCTGGGAGAACTTCAATTTCCAGTCAGTTTGTGACTATGGTGAGGGAAAATGAGGAATTCTCCCTCGTCCAAAATCTCTTCATTATGAAGTTACCTCAATAATCTAGTGATTGACTGAAAGTGCCTGGTAGAAAATATATCAAAATATATAAATAAAGCAGGGGGGAAAAAAAAGATTCATGGGCCCTCTATACCATACGTGTGGTAAGCCAGAGAGGCTGACTGATTCTATCTCAAGTGGAGAAAGAGAACAAGTGCTTTGGCAGTGATTTAGGTCTTGCAACATGCCAGGTGGCTAGGGCACATGTGGAACAGCCTCAGATCCAGGGAGAGTTACATAATAAGGAGATATGACATGTTTATATACATATGCTTCTATGTGAGTATATTGATCTTTTTAATCTTACAGTTCCAAACTTTTCTTTAAAAAAAGAAAAGAAAAGAAATGGCCCTAATAGGCAAAAGCCATGATTTATCTGTGACAGCCTTTTAACCAGGAAGCATACAGGAAGCCAAGACTGGGCAAGGAACCCTCAAAGCGTGTTCCCCAAGAGAAGACTAACGTCCTGGTTAGTTAGCTCTGTCCTAGCAGGGTATCTCAGAGGAACACATTGACATCTGATTCCTGTGCTTTCTGCTGTCTTTGCACCCTGCTGGGGATCCATTAGCCTGCTGCTCAACATCTTTGGAGGAAAAAAAAAA